ATGTCAGACATGATCGCTAAAATGTAGTATCCCAAGTAAATACAACATACTACTGGGTTAAAATTCTCGCTAAAATACGCCTAATGAAAGTCTACGTGTAGACGCACATCCCTGTGATAATTAAACGTTTTTAAAAGGCCCAACATAACCCCACTTATTTGATGCGCAAGCGGAGCGCGTTGTGTCTACATCTGGGGCGAGTTCAGGAATGACACACCCAGTGTGAGTGTGACACCGGTGCGACGCCCTAGCTGTTCAAAAATGCTAGATGGTCCTATGGGCCCAATGGCTAATTGTCAATTCAGGCACACCCATAAAATCGCACTCGCACCCGGTGCGTTATTTCTGAACTCGGCCCTGCGTCTGCGATGCGAGTGACTGCACATTTTTAAGCGGCGCGTTCTCTTCGTCATAAATAAGAAGTGCGCCTCATAGCAAACTCATAGCATAGTGCATACTCTCGGAGCGCCCCCCAGCCCTTTCCCTTGAAGGTTGTGATTTGCGATTCGTCAAACAATGGTCAACATGGAGCACTCGGATTTTTAAAAGCGTTCTATTTGGGAGTTGACTCTGAATGATTGCACGATTAGCTCCGGAGCTTTTGTCTCATAAAAAGAACGGGCAGTTATCGAACGCAGTCCAGCCGTCGTAATAGCTGCTTCCATTTCACCGCCCTCCTTACCTAACTAGTGGTTGTTTAGCGGTAACCTTACCATCGGCAAGGGGGGACCAACTTAAATTTATTAGTATATTATATACCTAGGTAGAGAAGTTGGTCTTTATATACCGAGCGCTTTTATAAACCGAGGCGCTCGCGCCGAGGTTTATAATGAGTGAGGTATATAATGACTTTCTCTACCGAGGAATATATAGAATTTTTTTTACTACAGCTAGTAGAAAATGAAAAATTTGTTTAAAATCTGTGCTCCAATTATTTTTTTTGAACGCCCTCTTGAAAGTGCTGCCCTCTATCAACAGCTTATGATAACTTCCTATGTACCTACAGAAACCTGTATTTTTTTTCAAATTGACGTATGGAAATGAAATTGAACCAATAGAAACATGACAATATCCTTGCGTCATGACGTCATTTTCATTATTAACCTAGGTATTTTTTCATTATTTTCATTCACCTAGGGAGAGAAATTCAATTTTTTCCTAGAAAAATAGATTGAATAATGACAATTTCTCAGGTTAGTAGTAAAAAAAAAATATTAAAACATGTAATTCAAAAAGTTAACTTCAAGTTAACTGTCAAAGCAGTTTTATAATACCCACCCTTAAGCCTAGTCTCCATAGACGCGAAATCGCGGAAAGCGAATTTTTTAAGTGTCATTTTTTGGTGGCTATTTCCGAGCAAATTATTCCCATGTCTCCATAAGCGCGAAATTCGCGTTTTATTTAACAGGTTAAGGTTACCTATGTGTTGTTGTTTGTAATCAATTTGAATTCGATTTAAATGCTTTGAATTTCAAACACTAATCTTTGAAAACCATGAAAGTGATTACTAAAAAACAAAAAAAGATATGTGTCTTGGTGTTGTCTTAATTACATTTAAGGCCCTATTATAATCTTCCTCATCAACCAGCAAGCTGTAATTTAAGTCTGTTTTCGGGTCTACAATATTCAATTCTTTGGCAGTATCCATTCTTTATTAGGTATCTACAAGTACAAAACACATCAACGACTCACAGAGAACAGAGCACATACCGACAAAAACATAAACAAAACTAAACTGAAAGTAACACCACATAACCTTTTTTTTTTTTGGCGAAATTTCGCGGAAAGTTAAAAAATAGTTAACTTTTTTGCGACGCCGCAAGAAGTTAAAAAATTCGCGAATTTTTCCCGCCATAAAAAAATCAAATGTTATATGTCAAATTCCAACCAATCGGAAAATATCCGCAAAAAAAAATTCGCGATTTCGCGTCCATGGAGACTAGGCTTTAAGCCTAGTACTCATAACTGCGAAATTCGCGATTTTTTGACATTTCTTCGACAATTTGACGTTTAATTCACGCATAAAACGTCAATTTGTCGAAGCAATGTCAAAAAATTGCGAATTTCCCAGTTATGAGTACTAGGCAGTTATGAGTACTAGGCTTTAAACCTAGTACTCATAACTACGAAATTCGAATTTTTTTGACATTGCGTTGACAATTTGACGTTTTATGCGTGTATCAAACGTCAAATTGTCGAAGCAATGTCAAAAAAATGCGAATTTCGCAGTTATGAGTACTAAGGCGATTTTCAGCCTGGAATGATTATTATTTGGTTATAACCAATGCATTTCCGCCATCGCGGTTTTAACCAAAGTAGGGGAAGTTGTGACGTCACATATCAGCTGATTTGCTTTTGGTATTTACCACTTATAACCGATTATAACCCAGCTTTGGACTTGGGTTAATCTTTTGGTTACAGCTTTTTGATGTTATTGTTATTATTTTTGGAATTTGTATTGGTGTTTTGTGATTTTGCAGTTGCGTTGTAGCCTGGCACAATGAAAGAAGTATACATTCACTCACTCACTGCAATTCACCATGTTTAGATCGAGGTTTAGATCATCCCCAAAGAAAATCTGTTCGATAAACGAGACTAACGAGAGATTCAGCTCCATTTTTTTGTACTTAAACAAAAAACTATTGTTGAAATGAAAAAACAAATAAGAATAATAAACATAATCCTACTCTGCTATAACCAAATCATTTCAGCGGTCAGTTCCTTGGGTTATGATTCTTAGATGGTGGGGGGCTATGACGTCACACTTGGTTGTCAAAGTTGTCAACCAAAAGAATACGGTATTTACCCTTGGTATTTACCGATAAATAATCATTCCAGGCTGAAAATCGCCTCTAGGCTCAAAGAAAAAAATCCGCAAAATAAAAATCCGCAATTCGCGTTTATGAGTACTAGGCTAGTTCGGACGGCGTGAACGAAAGCGACTAAACTTGCGTTCGGTATTTTGCTCAAAGAGCAGAGCGTGCTGAGCGGAGCCGTAATCACGTAACCAGCGAGCAAACAGATTAGTTGAACGCTGTGTATCAGAGTGCCCGAAATTTTAATAAACGAGCGCGAATGATCTTGCACCGAGTATACTTTTCAAATAAACGAACGGTAAATTCAAGCTCGGAGAACTCGGATCAAAATTCCCAACGCACGGTAATATTCAGCAAATAGCGAATTCCATTGGAAGGGCTAAGTACGCAACGCACTGAGTTTGACTGAGTGTATTCGTGTCTTTCTCTACCAGATTGTATAAGAAAGGGATAAAAATCCATTTTTTCTGTACTAGCATTTTTGGCTCTGTTTTGAATTTTGATCAAGATCAAACTCTTCGATCCATCGCATGTGACGGAGCAAGAAAGAGCGCTTCGTTCGATATTTGAGAGCGTTCTATTGCTCAAGTCGAACACGTGAATCTCGCCGAAAGCAACGCTCCGTTTTAAGCCGAACATGTGTTGAGTTTGTGTTTTGTCCATGTTTTCTAATGCCGGTTTTCCACTAAACGGACTGTTGGGTTTGTGTATGTTTTAAAACAAAAACAAAACTGAAACAAACACAAAACTCTTGTTCCGATCAAGCGAACTGTTTTGTTTTTTCGGTCCACTGGTTGTTTGTCGTCCAATCATTTAGATACAGCCTATAAAAATGAAATCAAGTTGAAAATAAAGAACCAGACAAAACACAAGACCGATTTTAAATAAAAAAACTCACATAACAGACTCGTGTCTGTGCTGGAGCTTCAAAACACGTCGAAACCCTTTGATGTTTACCGCTTCCGAGCGGGACCCGAAAAATGAAACTCTAACTGTGCAAAACAAGCTAGAAAATGTTTTAGAAAAATTTGAGTTATGTTTTATTCGACAGGAGTTTGGGTTTTGTTTTTCTTTTGTCCGTTTGGTGAAAAACCGGCATAAAACCTGAAAAAAAAAAGACAAAACTGAAACAAACCGAAAACTCTCGTTTCCATCAAGCGGACTACGTTCAAGGAATAAGGATGATACACACTACTACTACAGGATGGCCTATCCTCATAAGGCCTGTGTGTAACAAATCTTCCCCTACCCCCCCACTCCATGCCAAACAACCAGTTGTGACGTAAGCAGCATGGCGTTTCTCGCCTTGACGGAGGCTGCTTAAACAGCTGACGACTTAGTTATGACGTCAGCAATGGTTGAAAACAGTTGAAAACCAATGTGGCGGCGATTACCAAAAACGAGGCCGATAAGCACTCCATAGTGTGTATTCTGCTTGGTTTTTGATAAAAAATTCGTAAAGTCTGTTTTTTTTTTAAAGATAATTTCGCAAGTCAAACATTTAGTAACTATGTTGGCAACACAAGCCTTTTCTATACAAAAAATTTGAAAGCATTCACAATTTTAATTGTATTGCCAACTAATGTCATTTTGACTTTTATCTTTAAAAAAAAAAGACATTATATACATACTGGCCGAGTTCGTTTTTGTCAACTTTTTCGTCGATTTCCTCCGAAATTTTGACAGGCACGTGATTTGTAACTTGAAATTGTCTTATCCAGTCACGTGCCTGTCAAAATTTCAGAGCAAATCGACGAAAAAGATGACAAAAACGAACTCGGCCACTATAAAAATGAAATCAAGTCGAAAATAAAAAACGACCAAACCCAACAGAACCGTTTTTGAATAACAAATCGACTAGACTCGAGTTTCAAAACACGTCGAAACCCTTTGATGTTTACCGCTTCCGAGCGGGACCCGAAACAGTCTTCAAATTGTTTTCAGAAAGTTTGAGTTTCATTTTATTCGACACGAGTTTGTGTTTTGTTTTTGATTTTTCCGTTTGGTGGAAAAACGGCATTAGAAATTAGAATGGTATTAATTAATTGTAACGTATTTTTTTAGTATGCATAAGCAAAAGTCCGCGGAATCATGTGGTGGAAAAAGCCTACGTCAAGGCGAGAAACTGCATGCTGGCTACGTCACAACTGGTGATTTGGTGTGGTGGGGGGCTTCAGATTTGTTCTACTCAGGTCACAGGCAGTTGTAGTAGTTTTGTGTATTATCCTTGGTCTCGCATCACACTACCTCTACCATAACCTAACCTATTTGCTATTTGATTTGGTTGGTTTGTAAATGTTAGGGACTTGGAAAAATAAGCCTTTTTATTATTTTTTGATTGTCTATGTTTATCTCAATGATTATTTCTAGTTAATTATTAATTAAAAATCGAAAAGTGTGCTGTAGTTTTACTCCAATGAAGACATATTCTCAGATGTGTTCAAAAACTTTACAATGTTTGAGAAATTATAGTTCAACAAAACCAATTACCTACTTTACCACACCAATTTACTATGTGAATGCAGGTAAGTAGAGCACAAAAATGTAACATCAATAATTATTATCCAATGCCTCTAAGGCGATTTTCTATACACAGGTCTACAATAATTAGGTATAAGACGATGCAAAAATTAAACCCTATTCAGTTAGGTAATAGTTCAATAATTAATGAGTACCTGTATTTCTTTATTTTATGTAGGTAAATATTTTCTGATTTCACTTAGTTGCTGTGTATGGCATTCTGGGTTTAGGCAGAATTTACCACTAATAGGCTATAGGTATTTGATTAAAGCTCTACACACATTGCTAATTGAACATACCTACATAAATAGGTATATTACTTTTTTTTGACAGCCGTGCGGTAAAATCAATTTTCCTCACTGATACCTGTGCGGAAAATTAGTTTCTCTGCACTAGTGCGGAAATTTTTTTTTGCACAGCTGTCAAAAAAAAAATAATAATAAATTACTAGCGGCCATTTGCACCGCTATAACTTAAGGGATATTTAATCCAAGTGGAGCTTTGAATGTGGATCTCGTAGAAACAAAAGTCACATTCAAAAGCTCCACTTAAATTAAATATCCCTAATTTCCCTTAAGTGATATTGGTGCAAATGGCCATAGGTATACTATAGTTGGGCCACCAAACAGAGATAGTAATAAAACCGAGCATCCAACCTCTGAGGGGCCTGACAGGCAATAGACGAGAGGATTTATACCTTCTTATAATAAATAAAATTTCCACATTTTCACATTCCAATTACTAAATTATTTTGAGTTAAAATAAATAAATGAAAGACAAACAACATCAGTTTCAAATGCGCTCCACTATGAAAATGCCTGCTTTCAAGGGGATGCCGGGACTATTTATGGGGGCCAGTTACCAGGTAATCATTTTATTGCTATCTCTGTTCGGTGGCTCGACTATAGTATACTTATTTCCGTGTGTCTCTAGAAAAACTATGGTACCTAACACTTGCGGAAAAATTCATTTATTTACAACCACATACGTAATGTTTTTTTTTTTTTTTTGAAAATCGTTTATTTCTTAAATCATTCATTACAATAACAATAATACAATTTCTCTAAACAGTGCCTGTAAGCACTGGTCTTGAGAAAATAATCTCAGTTTTTGTTTTCTTTATGTCTAAGTGTTGCTTAAGCTTTTTTACAAATGTATTGAAATTTCTTACATTTTTAATTTCTCCAGGTACCTTATTATAAGATTTGGAAGCTCGGACTATTGGATTATTGAGACCTATATTAGTTTTAGTTACAATTTGGTAAATATCACAGTTGGTTCTGGTATTATAGTGGTGTACATCATTCGATAAAATAATATTAATATTGCTCTTCTGACTTTGTTTTAATATTTTATGCATAAGTTTATCCTGCTCGAATTCATATATTTTAATTATCGGACTTATGTTTAGCTCTTCATATAATATAGCTGAATTTGTGAGTCTGTCAAAATTGAATAAAATTTTCACAACAGTATTTTGCAATGTCATAATCTCAGTAATATGACACTGGGAACTAGATCCCCACACGGGAATAAGATATCGTAAGTGAGGCAGAACGAAAGCATTATAAACATTATATTTAGATTTTTTTGTTAGATAGTGTCGGTGCTTAAATAATGCAGGTATAATTGGAAGAATTTTTTCGCGCATGTAGTTTATATGCATTGACCAAGTAAGTTTATCATCTACAACCAAACCAAGATATTTGATATGGGTAACCTGTTCAATAGAAACATTGTTTATTTGAATAGATATGTTTTCGGTTATTTTATTTTTTTTTATATATTTTGTCTTATCACCATTAATTTTTAATTTGTTACAGTACAGCCAGTTCATATATTTCTTTAAATCAGCATTAACTTCAAAGCATAAATTATTTTCGTCACTCCCAGTATAAACCAATACCGTATCGTCGGCAAAGGTAAAATATCTGGCATTTACCCTAGAGTATTTTAAGCTTAAGACATAGAGGGAGTACAACAGGGGACCTAGTACAGATCCCTGAGGCACTCCACTTCTGCTAATCAAAAATTCACTACTATATTTTTCTAGTTTGACATATTGTTGACAATTAATAAGATATGTTTCTATTAAACCATGTATAGCTCCCCTGAAACCCATATTACTTAGCTTTTCCAATAACAAATTAATATCTACAACATCAAATGCTTTCCTTAAGTCAATAAAGACTGCCACCACAAGCTGACTCTTATCTAAAGCCCTAGAGATGAAATCAACAAAATCCACAGTTGCACTTAAGGTATTGCTATTTTTTATAAAGCCATATTGATACTTATCAATTTCTATAAACTTTTCAATAAATGACAGCATTCTCTTTTTCATTATTTTTTCTAATATTTTGGAAAATACACTAAGGACAGAAATTGGTCGGTAATTGACGTTTTCAATTAAAAGAGATGGACAATAAAGTATGAAAACAATCATTTTCCCGCCAACATTTGCTTGCTTGTCAATGCCAGTGTGTATTGGGGTGTTTTGAAAGAAAATGCAGGAAAAGTCACTACTTCCTTTGCAGAACTTCGCTATGGAGAAAGCGGTGGATTATTTTGGAAGCAAACAGCTCCCGCAAACTAAATTTGAACGTGGATTACTTTGTATAATTGATAGGCCGTGGATTTCCCTTTTTTTGCGAGTATTCTTTCTGATTTTATGTATCCAAAATTTGACAAATGTAGGATTTGATGGAAACTTATGGAAAGACACGTCCGCCAGTAAATAGGAATTATTTTTACAAAAAGGCACACTACACAATCACTATTGTTAGGAAAAAACTTTGAAAAAACCGAAGAAATAATAGTTTCCAGTTTCCACATGTACAAAAATCTTGTCAACAAACCACTGTCAGCGGCTGTCAACCGTTGTTTTCATACTCTTTTGGCGTCTGACAGTTTGACGCCAGAGAGAGAGGGTTTTAAATTGAAAAGGTCAATTATTAGGTGACGTTTTTGCTCCTGCTTTGTAAATAGGGCTTATTTTCCTAACCTTGAGTTCATCGGGAAAAATACCACTGGTAAATACTGAATTAATTAGGAGTGTTAATATTGGAGTTATGTATTGCTGTAGGTTTAATATATCCCTAACTGAAATCTGGTCATGCCCCAGAGCAGAGTTGGGTTTAAGTTCTAGTATCACTTCTAGGACTTCAGTCTCATTAGTATGTTCCAAGTAGCAACTGTTTCCTATGTTTATTTCATTATTATGTATATTATAATTAAATGCTTGTCGTTCTGTTTCTACCTCTTTCATAATATTTTCCCCTATTTTAGTAAAGTGTTCATTTAATTTATTTACAATCAAATCCTTATTCTGTATCTCAGTATCATCCACAATTAGCGAATTTATTTTAGATTCACAATAGCCTTCCTTGATTAACCTATTTATAAATTGCCACTGTCTTCTAGCGTTTGTACCTGTCTGTTCCCATTCATTTTTAAAATACCTATTTTTTAACACCCTTATTTTATTATTGATTCTATTTTTTAAAATATTGAAATTTTCTGCAATTTGTACATCATTTGGTCTCCTAATCTTAATTTTATACAACCTATCCCTATCCTTCATTAAATCTAGAACTTCTTGATCCAGCCAATAATTTTGCCTACATCTAATACTTTTTACATACTCCGACCTACTCTTACAGCTAGTGATTATGTCTGTTAATGCACTGAAAGATGTTATCGTATTATTATCACCGATCTTATTTTCAAATAAATTTTTAAATTTAAGGTTATTAATAGCTTTAACGTCATAGTTAATTTTTGGCTTCGCTATTTTTATATTATGGAGGATGTTAACAAGCAATTGATTATGGTCAGAAAAAGAAATTGGCGCTACATTAACTTTACAATTATATTTACAATTTTTATCAATCAGAACAAGGTCAATAACACTTCTACTATTTGTTGTTATTCTGGTTGCGGATTCATTTGAAATTGTGTTTTTTACTTGAGAATTTCATACATCTGTCAAAACTGGTATTCCAACAATATATTGACATGTTTCGATTGTTGATTTGAACCAATCAGATTGTAATTATATATATATATATATATATAATATTTCAGAAAATGTCGTCATAAATAAGGAAAATATATAATTATACACCGTCTTGCATTTATTTATTCAGTTAATTTGTACACAAACAAAATTGGATTAACACATGCAAGACATTTTCATGGAGGTTTTGGGGTTGTTATATTAGATAGAAATTGTCAATTTTTCAGAGGGGTGAAATATCATTTCACACCACTTCATTGTTGATTTAGATTAAAGCTTGAATGTAGAAAAGCCACTGGATACTGATGCAAGACCTCCTGTGGAGGGATAACGGGCTGCAAGACGGAGGTCAATGTGTTGTCTTATGAAGGAGTGAGAAATCATTTTACACCGTCTTGCACTGGTACTAATGGGAAAAACAGAACACATTGATAACATTTTTAAAAATACAAGACGTTCTAAATGGAAGGAAAAGACTGCAAGACAGTGAGGAAGTTGACTAATTTTGACGGGGGTCAATCCATAAGGTACAAAGGTGAATACTACTCCAAGTTACAAATTACACACATTTATTTTAAATATGTTTGCTCTTTACCACATATAATAATTCTATTTTGCAAAATTCTCTTAATAATATGTATATTTCAACTCTACGGACACCAAATAAAAAAAGGTTGAAAATTGTTCTTTTTCTGACGACTTATATTAATTATTTTTTTTTTTTTGAGGTGGATATGCCATAAAACATAACGGATTGTAAGTATTAGGTAAATTTGAGAAATTTGATTTCAAAGCTGCGAAAAAATGACATAACAAAAATGATCTGTCTGGAATTGTAAACAGAAATTATAATTCCTGTATTCAGCAGACTCCCCTGTTGAGCTGCTATGTCAATTGTCCTTTTCCATCTGTATGATTTAGAAAAGAATGAACAGTGAACGGTTCAGTAAATAACTCAACAGTTCAGTTAAAAAAGAAAACGGATTT